TACCCAATTAGCACGAAACGCGACTGTTTTGAGTTTCATCTGAATGAATATATCGTTGACATAAGAATTGCATTCACTGCAAACAAGAAATGATACACGAAAGCATTCTAAACTCGGCGTTAAATATCCGATAGGAATACATTGCGATTATAATGAGAAATAATTCGTAAAATGTAAAAAAACGCAGATAGATAGAATGGATATATAGATATTAACTTCGTATTTTATGTAAAAAACAAAAATGGACAGATTTTATCAAGTATTGCAGTTAACCTTTTCAGAACTTTCTTCCGAATATTTTTTTTCCATTTTCTTCAATAGAATCACAATTCGGCTATCACAGAAATTTCATTACACGCGAATAACGGCTTCGCTGTTAATCGACATCTTTAACGGCTTATTTAACGTTAAACGTCCCATTCCGACTGTCCCTTGTCTATTATTAAGATGCTATTCGACGTTATCACAGGCCGTGTGCCACGTTTTAACGCTGAACGCGCGCTGTAAATGCGGGTTGTTCGATGGCGAGCACTGCGCCGAGCGTGTCTCTCGTGTGCTCGGTAATTCCTGCAATAACCGAAAATAATAATACAGCAGACGACACCGTAAATGGCAGCGATAGCGCAATAACGGCGCGATGGCAATTGACAGCGATGCTTCGATAACACGGATATTAACGCAAGGAAGGAGGTCACCAGGAATGGTGGACGATCGAGTTTTAGTGTCCACTCCGGTAATCCTGCATCATCCAATCGATGCGATCTTGCTTTAATTAACTTTAACGGAATTTCCCGAAAAGCGCTAGCCGAAAAAATGTCGTTTATCCATTCGATGTGTGTGCAGTCTAAAGATTAAGTGCAAAAGATTAGAAACCAGGATTCTTTGTCATCCAATTAAACGCATTCATTATTTTATCAAAATATTTAATAAGTAGTAATAATCATAATATGCTTGGAAAGATACTCCAATCTACGACTTATTCCGTCACGGCAAACGCGACATATAAAAGGCTGACCTTCTACGAAATTCGATTCCGATTCCACCGAAGCCGGGAGCAATTTTAACCCTTCCCGAGTGATTTGAGTGTAAATGTATGCGTTAATTGATTTTTTCATCCGAGCGAAACGTGGACACACTCTTCCTTCTTCAAACGCGTTGCAGGAGTAAAAAATAAAGATTAAACATCTAATTAATATGTTTTAAAAGTTATTCCCGAAATTATCTTTGTCGTTTCTCTTTGCTCGTGTTAATTTTATATTTTATCTCGCGTCAATGCATATAATTTTTTTCGACGACAGCAAAAATTCATTCACGTTTAAAGGATTACGCGCCCGCACTTGTGGAACGACGACGGGCGAGGAGGAAGGGGACGGAGGAGCTTACACTCCAATAGTAACAGAAAATGATTGGAAAGTCTTCCTCCGCCGTGTGAACGCGGTGTACACGAACGGACACGTAGGTAGATATACCAGGCTTGCCGCCGCCTTCTACGAAGGCGATTGGCGTTTGTTATTGAAGTTATTCCATCGCCTCGGGCCACAGAACGAGAGGCGAGGCTGCTGATCGTGAGTGCCAGCAGCAGCAGCAGCAAGCGGCGGCAGCAGCACGCCTGTCCCTGGATGACAAACATCCACATTTCGCTCGCGAGCTGGAATTTTTATTAAAACCGTCCGATCGCGCCCGTCTCCACGTACGCGGTGTCCCGAGCGTACCTCGCGCGCTCATTCATTGCCGCTTTACGCGGTCAGCCTCTAACAAGAATATAAAAAAAGGTACAGCGATCCATCGAGTCATTCGCAACGAATAAACAAGACGGTAAAATGCAGAAAGGTTCGCGCACTTCCACGTCAATGATCGTCAAATAATATTTATTGTTTCGATGGTATGAGGGGTGTATTTATTGACACGTACGCGACAACGCGCGAATGCCACAAGATAACCATTATCCGTCCGCAGAAATAAGGAAATAATACCTGAGATGACTCGTTAGAAACTTGAACCGTACGAATTTTATTTGACCCAAGATTTGACCTGAGAGAGCTTAGGGTAGTGTAGTTTCCAAAACGCGCTATAATCCGCAGTAGCATTCAGCATAATGGTGTCCCTCTCATAAGAATAGAAGAGCTTATTCGACGACTTTCAAAATTTAAGGAATTGTCACAAAGGATATTAACTTGACACGGTGAAAGCGGAACAGCCCTCTCTCGTTATTTTCGCTGTTTACCATATATCGTGAGCATAATAGGACTGACGAATAGCCTCTCATTTGAGCGTTGAGTCGTTAAACAGCTGGACTTCTCAATTCGGCAAAAATGACCATAAATATTTTCGAAATTCTCAGGTTCTTCGATTGGGGGGGGCACACGCAGCGATACAATGACGTGAATAATTTAATTATTATCTACCTAAACCGACGAGCGGTTTTCACGAATTGATTTGTGATGGAGGTATTTAAATAATTTAAACTGCCCAAGTGATTGTGCTTATGTGTCGGCGCACAAAAGAGCATAGCAGATAATTACCTGGAAGCCATCGTAAACCGCTCCATCAGTGGTCGGTGCGCCTTCATTTACGAATGACCCAGGACCGTTTCGAAATTAGAGAGTGGGGGTCTCCTACCTTAAAACTACAGTCGTCCCTGCCGTCAAAATCCTCGTGATTAGTCTGCCATAGGAATCTGCCCGTGGTGGGTCCTGTCATTCGGTAGTGTTCGGTGAAATAACGAGCGGACGTAACAGATTGAAAAGTGATTCGAGATATACGATAGAATATACGGCAAAGAAGTGTACAAAACAAGTTTAGTAAAATAAAAATAAAATAAAAATCAATTTCGTAAAAAAAAAGATAAAAAATGAAGTTTTATTAGCAACATTGAAAAACAAAACAGTTTATGTTAAATAACGCGGAGAATAAAAAATGCAAAACATAAATGTGAAAATGTGTAACGTAAGATACACGTATAAAAGGGTAAAAAGTATCTTCGTGCTTCAAATATATATGTAAAGGGAACAAAGAAGTGTTACACGCAGATACAATTGTTTAAAGTGTGTGAATCAAACTTAGCTAGAAACAAACTCCGCTTGTATCTCAAGACAATCGGGAAGATCGAGATCATTCAGGTTGTTATAATGTTTAATAAATTTTTATAATAATCGCTTAATGAACGACACGAATGTAACTGGATATTTAGATATTATCTCTTCTCTTTCTAAATCCTGGGATTAATTCTCAGTGACGTTTAATAGCATTTAATAGACGTTTAATAAACAGGAGATGTGGAAACGTGTGGAAAGCGAGCGTGAAAGTAGTGGCCAGCAGCGACGCGTACGAGATCGAGTCGGTCGCGCCTTTTCAATCACGCGTGTAACAGGTCGTTGTAGTGGAATTCTTTTCCAATAATAATTCACCCGAGATTATCGTAGGACGCGATTATGCGTGATATAAATAGATTCTTAATGGGCGTGCGTTCGAAAGGTGCAATTATTGCACGAACGATCGTTTTGCATTCGATTAACGTCGTCTCCTTAGCCTCCCCGTTATATGGCCAAGTATTCAATGCTCCCGCGGGAATAATTTGCGCGTATCTGTCGATTTATCAAGGGACATAATAACTTTGAAAATGAAGAGTATGATCACGACATTTGCTCGGCAATCACGAACACATTTAAAGATGTAACTGCTTTCTGACTGATAGCAAATTTCGGCGTTTTGATGATTTACCATCGTATCTTTTTTTTTATAGATACAATTTGACAACAGAAATCTCAATCATTAACACAATAAAAACCAATCACATTCTGCATGAGAGAGATATGTCTTCAGGTAGCAGAAGAGAATTTCTACATAGGATATATCTTAATTTTCGCAAGAATGTAACTTTCTCTGTCTACATTTGCGTTTATAACTTTAAAGAAAATCCGTTTTCGCACTTTATCGTAATAAATGAGCACCGGAATTCCCGCGACAATTCCTTCGCGCATGAAGCGAGAATCACTTCCACATCCATTAGCAAAGAGACCCCGAATTTGCGAAGGCTTAAACGAGATTAAACGGTGACCTCGGCGTTATCCCTGGAACGGAGAGGAGCAACATTACGCTGATTGCTCGGGTTAGCACGTTATAGCAGCGCTTGCCAGGAGAGAAGACTGAAATTTCATTCTTTTTAGCACGCGTTCCCGCTTAATGACACCCTGACTCATGTTCGTGAATATTCTTAATAATCTTAATCGGGCCTCGTCGGCATAATCGTTCTTCTCGTCTCCGTAATGCCACTCCGGGAGCGACGCGCGAGCAGGAAAATGTTATAATCGTGTACTGTCCGGCGTCTCTACTAGTAGATAAACAATAGTCTGCGACCACGTATGCGTAGGGAAAAGTGCACATAAAAATCACGTGGACTGCGGTTGAACGCGGCCGTATAATTTTCAACAGTAATACGATCAAGTAGGTCTGTGGCGTCTGTGGTTTGGTTTTTAGTACCAATCTGACTCTCCGCAATTTTTACTCTAAAGTTTTAAAGGAAAACTTTCTATGTAAAAAGAAATTATATTCAAAACATTCTACAACACACTTGAAAATATTAAAATATCATTAGAAATCTCATCTCCTTTCTTATATCTATACAAAAAATATTTTGTTGCTCAAGTTAAAAAAAAAAAGAAACGGCAGTATATATACTTCTGATAAGATATCGTGAATATCACTGGAATAATGGATTGTTTGAAAAAAAGTTGTTTATACATTCTCTTACAAAGATAAGCGTAAAGATAAATTCTAAATTCCAAACTGTTCTTAAAATTGCTCTATTTTTTTTAGCTATTTTAGAAAAAATACTGATGGATCCTTTAATGATTTCTTTTCTTCATAACTCTTTTAATTATATAGAAAATTCCGTACAGTGTATACGACTTTTACTTTATTTATATTAAACTCCTTCCTTCTTTATTTAATTATAGAATTTTTATTTTTATTTAAAAACTTATAATGTATAATTTACAAATCTATTGAATTTGTTAATAATTTAAATGCAAAGATTCCAAACCACGACAGTCGTATACCTTAGCAAACTGCCATTCCGTTAACATATAATTCAAGTGTCTCATTATTATTTACGTTGAGTACAATTTCAAAACATTTCTTCAAACCGAACAATTCTACAAGCTTATTCGTTTATTTTTATTTATGTTCATAATATCTAGAAGGATTTCCTTGCCTTTATCTTTCACCCGAGAAGAAGGATCTCCTTATCTTTATTTTCCTTCGGAATACGTAGACATGTAATTATATCCACGAAGTGAGACGTTTTGTGTAGCAGTGCAAGTTAAATAAGAGGGAACTAACAATAAGTCGAATTTATCCCAAATAGGATGACGAGTTGGAGCGCGTTGTTCGTCGCGGCCGCCGTCGGGATTTTGCTGCTGACGACCGCGACGAAACGCTCGGAAGCGTGCAACGAGGCGATCTGCGCCAGCGTCGTGAGCAAGTGCATGCTCACGCAGAGTTGCAAGTGTGACCTGGTCACCTGCACCTGTTGCAAGGACTGCTTCTCGTGCCTGAGCTACCTGTATGATGAGTGCTGCTCGTGCGTAGGTAAGATGCCGTTCAGAATAATCAAATTCTGCTTGATATTTCAATTTACTAAATTATTATATCGGGATATCAGGGTATCGTTATTAGAAACAAAATCTATCCTAATAACACAGTGTTCTATCAAAAGTCGTTGAACAATTGTAAAAATGGATAAATCGAGAGAAAGTTGGATAAAACCGAAGATTTAAATTGTAGCTACATTGATTTTAGACAAAATTTTTTTTGTCCGTTTCACAAATTAATTTTTAATTAATTAATTAAATTAATTTTGGTATTAATTAATATAATTGATTTAATATGCAGAAATTTTCAAGCTGAGATCGAAATATTTTATGAATTTATAAAAAGAATCCTGATAATTATTCTCAGATAAGAATGAGTGATCGGAGAAAGCTTTAATTTACGCTAAAAAGTTTTCAAATCATGAATTGAAATGATTCACAAAGTAGACATCGATACAAATAAAAATATATAAAACTGACGATATTTCTATGCTTCTAATTAACCAGCCTACCAGATAATCGACATTTCATAAATATTTGTAAATATCAGACATTGCGCGTCGAAGATTGCTGCATTGAACAATCGTTATAATTTATAATATTACTTATAAGTTTCTTTCTGTTAGGCTAGAATAAATAATTTCAGAATAAAATCTCCGATCACTTGTCCTCTATTTCAAGA